AATTGACTACTCAGGCCGAAGTAGTATCCTTCGGCAAAAGTTATTCAGCATTGGATTTCGAAGCTGGCATTGATATTGACAAATCACACTGCTAACTAGAAGGATTTAAAATCGAAGTTGTTACAGAGTATTCAAGCACGTCCAAATATTGAATGTTCCTCCAAATGAAATCAATGTCCATATTTTAAACCCCGTAAATCTTATARACAATTCGACCTATATTGTCAAAGAACAACTTTAAGCTGTCAATCTTTCCCAACACAGCTAAAGAGTCGCTCGATTCTTTTAAGAYTTCACTTTCTGGAATTATTGGAATCATCAAACAACTTAATATAAAAAAAAATCGCCGGGAAATGAATATTACCAATTCTTAGTTTCAGATACTWTCCATATCATGGAAAAAGTCACAGATTATCATGATAAATAAACATGCAAAAGGCCGTCTTCATGCAGACCAACCAGTCTTCCACCCTGTCTTTWTAAAGTATTTGAAAAAGTATTACTATCAAAGATGACTCCTTTTCTCCACGAAAATAATACTATACCAATGCATCAATTGCGAGGCATGGCGCAACAGAGCAAGTAAATATAATTACTAACGAAATAAAGAAAGCATTTGAGCACAGGGATATACACAGGGTATACTACAGCAGTATTTCTAGATTTAGCTCAGTCGTTTGATAAGGTGTATCACGAAGGTCTTTTATATAAGATTAAACAACTTTTTCCTTTAGAATTGTATAAAAAATTGAAGTCTATCGGCAATCCATCGGCTCTGGACATCTTTCGTTGACATATAATTCAGTCTTAAGAGTTGATAATGAAGTTGAAATTCATTGTAGTTTAAGTAACTTTGGCCTCACTATTATTCGAGGAGCTATTCAATGGGMAGTTTTTTAGACGTGGGGTTTTCAATGAAGCAATACTTTGCACGAAGTGGCTTTTTTTGACAGCTGCTACTGGATTTACATATATTCAGTTTTGTCAGCCATTTCATAATGAACAGCGCGTCGCGTGTACGTTGAAGGGGCCCAAAACGAGATGGCCCCCCATCAAAATTTTCACAACAAAATTTTGTTAAACACTGAAACTCATTTTTGGTTTTGTGTGCTCTGCGTACACAGGGAACAATTGGTCCATGTTTCTTCAAAAGTGAAACCGACCATAATGTTCAATGGAGAACGGGATTTTTTTTAAAAACGTTTTGTCAGTGCAATATCTCGCTTCGTGCAAACAAAACGTGCGTATTAACACAGCTGTAATAATTTTGAGAGAGATTTAAAATCGATTGTCCACGCAGGTAAGCCCGCGATGATTGACGGCTTGGCAGATAATATTCGGCGGCCTAGATTGCGGCGAAAAGCGATCGGTAATTGGAGCTCTCGACAGGAACTTATTCGAACAGCTCAGAATTTTATAATATATGTTCCACTTCTCATTGGGATTCTAWTGTCTAACAAAAAAACATCCTTCACAAAGTCTTGGTGGGAAAGATCTTATTTTCTCGAAAAGACAAGATCGTAAATTTTTCGTAACATAGTTTAAAATCATAATTTCTGTTATGTTTTATAATTTTTTTTRTTAAATATTTAGATAAAACTGCGTTCATGTTATCTTCTTCGTAACATCAACACCTCTTAATATATAAAGCTCTAGGCACGAGTTGATGTTAACTATAWTTTTCTCAACCATATTCACAAACTATCACTTCTCTTTCGGTATTAGTTTACAAAACCATAGAATCAACAGCTGAATTTATAGTTACATGACACGTATTACATCSAAATACAAAATTGAATATAATAGCTCCACATAAATAAATAAACAAGTTGTTAGGTGAGGGTGGGTAATGCGCCGGCCAGAGACCCGTAACGTTGAAATATTGGCATAAACCTTCAAAAGTTCACAGCGCTATAAACTCAAACAAACTTATTTAAATGCATAGGTCACATATTTTAGCAAATTACTGACTTAAAAAAGGAAAAAATCACAACAACACATAAATATGTGGTAAATGTGAGCAAAGTATCTGGATACTAAATACTAATATGTCACAAAATGAATATTTATGTTGAAACTTGTATGAATATTGATGCATGTGTGTGTGAGTTGGCAAACAAATGCCACAAAAATAATAACTTGTCTGTATTTTTATGGTCATACCATATATTCGTTCATATGGTTGTAAGATGAGCATTTTAAATGTGACCACCGGGACGTATGAGTGACATTAATAATGTGGCAAAGCAATATGCCTCTACACACACAAGGAATGTCGGCTGAAGCAGACGAATATGTATGTATTGACTGCGACTACTGTATCATAGGCTTGTGTAGGCGTAAATATATATTTACATATATACATTTATATATGCTATATAAATATGTATAGGCAAACTTTCACGTAGATTGCTCCTACAAGCTTAATGCCGGCAATTTAACACCTTTTCTGAATTCACTTAAACACAATTTCCATTTTCCAAATGCATTTTCAACTTTTCACTTAAATCAAAAAGTCTACAAATTTCGACACTTTTATGATTTTTTTTTTTTTTTTTTTTTTTTTTTTTTTTTTTTTTTTTTTTTTTTTTTTTTTTTTTGTTTTTTGCTAATAACACATACACGTGATATTTGTATATTTTTGCAGATATTCTATGACACAAATATCATAAAGAAATGAAAACTAATTAAAATACTGTCATTAGCCACAAATTGTCGACTGTTCAAATTGTGATAGCAACAATTAGAATAAATTTAATTTATAAATCATTTGTGTTGTCTGTGCTGAAATATTATGTATTGCCACTTGCTATTGTTGAAATAGATAACGGTGTGGAAAAAAATTTAAAATTCAAGTGAAATTTCTGCAAATACAGAAATTGAAAGTCTAAGTAAAAGGTATTGATGCCATCAGAATTTAAATACTTTTAAGCAATTTGAAATATGCTAAAACGTAATTAAAGCCTGAGCTATTTATACTATAGCGATCCGATCTTAATACGACGTTCGGAGTTTATGACATTGCCTTGGACAAAAATTCGTTTCATCCGTGTAAAAACGTTCAGAGCGATATCTCAAAAACTTGGTTCACGTATACATTGTGACCAACAGGTATACCGAAATTGTAATTTAAATTCACCGGGGAAATGATATTTCCAAACAAGTAAGAAAGGGCTAAGTTTATGTGCAACCGAACATTTTATAATCTCRCAACATGCAAGAATCAAAGCCAGGGAATACCCTAAGGTGTGAAACGTCAAGCTGAGAATCGGAAGCCAAGCTATTTTATATAAGTATACTTTATATAACCCATACACTGACCGACATATTTCSCATGTTATTTGTWAGAAAAACGAAAATCWTTAAAAGTAGTATATGGGAGTTGGTGTAGTATCGACCCGATTTTCTCTATTTACTATTACCATGCCACATGATACAAAAATTGTCCTGGTTTTAGTAGGGTACCTCACATACAATCAMWAATCATATGGAGCAAAGTCAGCCGGATGATGATAATAGTTATATGGTAGTTATATGAGGCCAAGGTCAGCTTTTCGCCCAATTGTTTTTATTTGAGGAACAAAGGTATAATGTTATAAGATGATAACTCAAATATTGACCGATACATACAGTAAAAAGCCACCTGAAAATTCGAAAATCTTTGTATTAGGTATATGGGGGCTCAAGGAAATATTAACCCGTTTCAAGCTATTTTTGATACAAAGCGTGACCATTGTTAGGAAAGGATTCTCTCTGAATTTCAAACAGCACCCACATTGACCAATACTTTCAGTGAAATGTCAACTATAGACACTAGGATCTACATACTAGGTACCTAGCGGCTTGAACAGTTTTGTTTCCTACTCCRAYCTCCTGTACCAAATTAAAGTWGTATGCCTCAATTTAGYGCTTARTTAGGGCACTTTACAGATTWTCGATTATTGTCGGCATAGCAGTGRTCCGATTACGCCCGTTACGACCTCGTAATTATTTTCATACAAAGAAACCCGTACACAGTATAACTTTCATCAAGATATCTCAATTTTTACTCAAGATACAGTTTACACGGCATATTCCTAAAAAATTTTGTGTACCGAATCGTTGCGAATTTTGGAAAAATCTTACGGTGACACATGCCTACAAAACTTTCAAAGACGGTAGAGACGACTCTTCGACCTCTTCAACTGATGAAAATATAAAAAAATCGGATAAGTATGTTATATGATACGCCGATTTCACAAGATACTTTATAGAAGGTTTAAGGTTTTCCTCTGGTTGTTGAAACTACGTGGTCTTATCAGTTATGTACCTATAAGTTTCATGGTTCCTTACAAGCCCATAAAAGTATGACATTCRAATCCGCGAAGATGACTGAGTGACATGCCACCTTTGATAATAGAGGTCATTAGCTATTTTTGTTGTTGTACTCTAAAAGGGGTGTATAAAGTTTGCTATTATTCTGTATTATAATATACAGAAGGAAACGACCTTACATATATGGTATATATTTGTGTAAATGATCGGCATGACAATTTGAAACAAGTTGAAGTTTCCCGTCTGTTTGTCCATCTGTCCGTACTTCTGTATGTTCGAACAATTCCGTCAGTTTTTGAGRTATTGATCTGAATTATCGGAATTGTGGAAACTATSGATGYCGGACCACTATAAGATATAGCTGCCATACAAGCTRAACAATCGAAATGAAATTATTATACGGACACTATGAACGAAAAACTTTGGAAGATCGGGCTTACTTATCATATTTATAGCATGAGCGAGAAATTCAAAAATTGGAACTGAAGCTGCGACAGTAAAATATTGATCATTTGAAATTTATCATTACTTACATTTGTGCGCAATTCAAGTGCYATAACTATTTTAATCAAATATTAAGAATTTTATCTTCGATATTTGCCCATCAACATCAACTTTGTGATCATTAATTATCAAGCCATATTGCTTTTATATTGCTCAATTTTTGTTGTTTTTTTTTCGCTCACCTGTGCTATTTATTGCGTTCGAATGATTCGCCGCCCCCACAGACGTCGCCGCTAAATTCGCATTCGCATTGTTGGCGTTCAATGCATTACTGCCCGCTGTGCCGGCAACGCCACCATTGAATAGCTCTGTCGTTGCATTGGTGCCATTTAAATGTTGTTGCTGTTGTTGTGCCATAAGTGCTGCATGCACCTCGTTTTTATTGGGAAAACTTAGGCGATGCTGCTGATTATCGATCGTCATTGGTGAGATGAGCGTTTGATTGCTGCTGCTGCCATTCGAACTGAGCGGCGAGACGCTATCACCGGTGCTTACAACCGGTGTGATATCTACAACCGTTGTTGCGGTGGCAGTTGTTGCTGGTGTAGCCGCTGCCGCCGCTGCTGCAGCGCGTTTAGTRTAAACGAGTGGCGCTGCTGGTGTAGTTGATTGTAAAGTGGTGCTGCAGCTTGATAAATTTGCCACGGAAGATATATTCGACGTTGTAACAGCTGTTGTAGCGCTTGTTGCCGTTGCACCTTTGCTATTCGAGGCTGGTGTTGCAGTGGTAGCGCTGCTGCTAAAACTTGTGGTGTTAACAACAGCACTGTTGCCGTGATCTAATGACAAGATCGGTTTTAACGGTTTATTATTGTTGATTGYTTTTTCGTTTATCGTTGCTATGCTCGAGTCGAGAGATTTGATATTTTTCTGTAAGCAAGACGATAAGTTCTGATGAGTTTACGTTTAATATTATATATAATTATTAGTATTGTAATAGACTAGGTTTCTAGCAGGAATTTTTAGAGTAATCAGACATTTGGTGGAAAACGTGCAATAAAAGTGGAAAGCGAAAGCTATGTTTTGTGCTGACCGTGACAATCGACTGACATATTCAGTAAAGTAAAAAGAAATCCAATATTTTCCCAATATTTAGGTTTAGTTTCTGTATAACGTATTGTTCGTATGGGATACACTATATAGCGTTAGAGAGATAAGACATCATACATAAAAGCTCCTCAGTTGGTTATTTGTTTACGCGCTTTATTGAGAACTGTTAGAGCTGAAAGTGTTAAAGATGGTCACAATCAAGCATAAAATATACCATATATCCGTACCATTTTTTCCTTCTATAAACACGAAAATGCAGGCCAGGCAGCGGACATATGAATAATATTTAGATCCTGATATAGCAGCATTTATAGAAATTTTGGTTTCGCCAATTCTGTTCGGTAATTTTTATGTTCAAGATGTATGCCGCTCTGGCAGGCCAATTGTTCAAATAGAATAATAGAAACCTTCGATAGGTCTAAATATCAATAGAATAATAGAAATCTCAATGATTTAGAAGTTAAGCATTGCACAAAAGCTATTTGGATCCGATAAATAAAGCTCGATGTATGGATGTCACATGAGTTAACTCAAAACACCTCAAGGACAGAATCTCCAACCGCAAATAGCAGATTAATCGCAACCAATTGATCTATTACCGAAGTCCATGATTACTGGCGCTCAAAAGTAAGTCACTTACGGAAATGTAAACTGAAAATAGTTGGAAATGGTTGCCAAGTCAGGATTGATGGTCAAGAAGGTTTTGGTATGTGTTTGGTGGCAATGATAGAGAATCAGGGACTGCTGCCTCACGACGAAACCCTTAACTCGAACCAGCACTGTCAGCAATTGAACCGTCTGAAAAAATATAAAATAAATCGCCTAGAAAAATGCCGGACTTCACACAGTGACTCGCCAGAAGATCGGAGAGCTTAGTTGGGTTATTCTTATGCATCCACCTCATAGTTCGGACCACAAGCTAAGCGATTACTACCCGGTCCTCTCTATGGCAAATTCTTTTCTGGTAAAACATTAGTCTTAAAAGAGTCTAAAAAAATAAACTGTCACACTTTTTTGGTCAGTTGGCTCCGAGCACCTGGAGAGTTAGGACAAACATTTTCGCGCGACGTGCTTCTGTGAGTAGTGYAACTYGAAAATGCAGAGAGAAATTAGAGCAGTGGTACGCGATTAAATTCTGTGCGAAACTCTGCGACATAGACGTTTCATTATTAAAAAGGCAAGCAAGAAGTGGTGTGTTTCGGAGGCACTAGGCCTTTCTTAAGGCCTGGGAAAAGGTCGCTGATTAATAAGCAAATCCACAGTGAAAACGATGCTCATTGTCATTTTTGACATTCATGGTGGATGGTACCATGAATTTGTTCCTCCTGGACAAACCGTTCACGCCAAGTTTTACGTCTTTTATTACGCCTTTCTTGTGAATGGCTACCTAACCAASGCCGGCAATTCAACGCATCCGCAGCCGCCCTACAGCGAAGATGTCCCCCGGACTTTGTTTTCTTTCCTTGCCTGAAAAGGCCATTCCGGAGAATGAATTCCATTACGCCTTCAATGCTTGGAAATCGCGCTGGCACCGCCATCTCTCATGCGTTTGGCCTAAAAGGTATATTGAATATTTTTTAATTTTTAATTGCTCGGATTTTAGAAAAGAGTTTGAAACCTGCTAAAATGTATTCAACATATAAAAATTTTATGTTGATATGATCTAAAAAGATCACGAGAAAGTTCTATAAAACACCCACATCACATAAAATCTCATATGACTACACAATATGAAACGCAAAGACGTGGACGACGAAGGTCCAAATGCAACACGAGCAAAAATAAATTGCGAATATATTTCTCTTTATGTATACTTATACACATTTATATCCATTATAACATACATAAATATTGATAGTGAAATTAAAGAATAATAAAGAAATAATCTGCAATATAAATAACTCTCACAAAAGTCTGCCAGATGCTGAATGCTTTGTGATAACATTTCCAACGGTACATGCAGGTTGATATAGCTGTGGAGAACTATTTCAGCAATTTACTTGAGAAAAAATTTAGTAAAAATGTATATATGAATATGTGTATGTGAATGTGTATATGTATGTGCAGTGTGTGTGGAAATAACRAAGAGCATTCTATTTAAAGTTATTAGAAATTTGAGAATATAAAAGCGTATGGAAGGTTGAGCGAGCGAGTACAAAGAAATTCCATATACACACCCACAATACATACGCTAGCAGCAAGCTACAGGTGAGAAGACAAGAAAATATTTTGTAAGTGAAAAAACACAGCAAAAACGCGTGTGCTATATCTGTGTGTATGTGTATGCTACGGCGGAAAAGGTGTAGAAAAGAATGCAAGGCAGGTGGTGTAGAGAGGATGTAGAATAGGAGAAGGCATGCAAAAAAAATTATGATTGTTTACTATGCTCGCATTTCTTATTATTTCTTTGTTTGGACTTTATAGGAATATCATGAAAAAGTGCACACTAACACACATGCATATAAGTACATAGATATAAAATACCGAGAATATTGAATGTAAAGAGAAAGTTTTGTATTTCTAGTTAACTTTCGTGCTTTCATTTAACTTTTTTTTTGTATGTTTTCTGATTTCAACTTTTTAGTTTTTGCTTTGCTAAGGAGGTGGTTTTGAGAAAATGCATACATACATATGAACATATGTATATGTACTTACAGATTCGCTCAGTTTGTGTAGCGAAGCGTTAATGCGATCCGGATTGCGCGGCGGTGGTTCTGGTGGCTCAGACGCAGCCATTGTAGGACCAGAAGAAGTGCCGTTTATTTGCATAATATTCAATGAGTATTAGTGTTGTTTTGGTCACACTGTTCGTAATGGTGGATAATGGGACAGAAGTGGTTTGAGTGGACAGTAAATTATGTCTTGCTTGCTGTCTTTGGTTTCTTTTCGGTTTTCTCTTTTTTGCGTGTTATTACTTTTTCTATGAACTTTAATTTGTTTTTTTTTTTTTTGTGCTTATATTATCAAATAATAGTTTTGGAATTTGAATAATGCAAATAATTTCAATTTGCCCACATTTAAGTGATTATATGCTTTTAGCACTTTTGCATGTTTTAAAAGTTATGAGTTGAACTCGAAATAATTGTTTGGCGTGTATTTTGTTTTTGCTAGTTTCTTTGCGTGCTTAATGCTGCAACATCTGCAAAAAGAAATGAAAATATGTAATTTAAATCTTTTATAAGCGTTTTAGTTTAAGGCTATAAAATAATCATTACATAAGTTTTCTACTGCTTTTAAGTTAATATTAAATTGTTCTTTTATTGCTTTYTTAATATTTGGTTACTTTTAAGCTTTGTCCACAAGAGCAAACTTTTCTTCTAGAGTTTGCTCTATGAGAATGACACATGTGGTTATATTGACRAATAAAGAAGACTGAAGAGGATATGGAGCAAGGTTTTTACCTTTATCAACACACTTTCCAGCCTGCTGTTAACGAAACTTACGAATTATGACCATGAAGTTACTGTTGGATTGCTCTAAAATAAACTAAAAATTTCAAAGGTTCTTGTRGCCGGAATCTGAGGGATCAGTTTGCCTTAAAATTCCTGATAACGGCATATATTCAAGGACAAATGCACCATGACGAAAGCCGAAACCATACACAACGAAAAGACTTTTTCGACTACCCAATATATATAATATATGTGATAGTGCTTTTACTTCAAGACGACTATTGATACAACATTATAGAGTACCATGAACAGCAGTTCATTAATTTATTTTACTAATTATTGGTGAAGATACGAGTATACCGTCAATGACAAACTTTTCCTTGTTTTGGATAGGCTAGTGGRTATGGCAGCTATTTTCTTCCAAGGTTGCACTATTGCCTCAGGCATGCCATAATTTCGAAAATATATCTCGTTCAATGAAATAGCTTGTCATACAAGCACTTTTTTCTGTTGGGACACCTTATATGGCATCCATATGTGGTAGTGATCTGATCAAAGCAGTTTCTTCGAAACTTTGCCAAATTTTTTAAAGATAAGGCGTCGAATGAAAATACAAGTACTTGATACGATCATTCGTGTTGCAGATATATGTGTAATGGTGATCCGATATCAACGGTTAAAAGAAAGAGGCAGCTTTTTAAGAAAAAAAGGATGTGTGCAAAATTTCATATTGATATCTCAAAATCTGAAGGGATAGTTCGCGTTTATGTACGCAGTCAGATCGATATGGCTTAATCGACTGAGTCACATATATAAATTTTACAGAAATTCAGGCAAACTACAAACAATGAAAAGAAGAAAACGACCTCAGATGAAAGACCCCCCTTTGGATGATGATCGCCGCAAACGTGTTAAGGATTACGATTTAAGGGCAGGCATTTGGAAAGTCCGGTCCTTTATTGAGAAGGGGCCGCTGCCCAGCTGGTTGATGACTTCATTAGAGTAAATGCTGACATTACCGCCGCCCAAGAAATGCGATAAAGGAGACAAGGACTGAGTGGGTTCTTGTGCCATTTAAAAGAGCGCAAATTCGGTGTGGGATTCGTGGTGGGAGAGAGACTCCGTCGCCGAGTCCTTGCATTCACCCCCGGTGGATAAAAGTACACAAGCGAAATTCGTCAACTTGATTTGCGCCCAAGCGCCGACGGAAGGTAAGGACGATATGACCAAAGATGTCTTTATTGAATGCTTGGAGCGCGCCTATGAAAACTGCCCCCTTCGTGCTTGGCGACTTTAACGGCGACTTGATGAAACRTCCCCAAATGGATTTAGGCTGATCGACTTCGCCGGGGTCCGAAATATGGTTATTTGTTGTATTAGATTCCAGCATAGAAAAAATGTATCAAGCTACCTGGGTGTCTCTGGATGGGAAAGCCTCTAACCAGATCGTTCATGTTGTGATAAACGGAAGACATGTCTCCAGTATTTAAAAAGCGAAAGCGCACGTCAACAAGCTGCAATCACAACAGACAGCCAATCGATTTTCTACTCGATTGCTGCTTTCTAAGAGTACTCGACAGCATCTCATTATAAGGAAACTGTGGTGTGTTTCAAGCTCCTTACGTTCAGCTGCAAACGAAACCATTGATTCCGAAAATCCAAACGAACAGCTGATATGGCGAGGAGTGACGTGTCGCGATGGAGAGAAAACAGACTGCCTACCTCACAACGTTACAATTGACCACAAGATGCGGCGACTAACATACTGTTTCAAGGAGCACCCCTTGTAAAGCCCCCAGAGGTGATCAAGTGACTGGCAGTGAAAGCATAACATCAGAAGATGGAAAACCCTATTCTCCAATCAATGATGACGGAGCAGACGTTTCATTCAAACTTGAATTTCAACATTTGATTTACAATATTGTTCTCTGATGTCACAAAAAAAAAAAAACTCTTCGCGAAATTCTTTCATCCACAAAAACCTTATTAGTATGTAGTTATCCTCTTTTCTGAACAACTCTATTCTTTTACATATCGTTAAAAATGTAAGYTGTCTTGATGAATTATATGTATGTATGAGGATATTTCGTTGAGTCTGCGCTGTTGGTACAATCTTGTGAATTCGTTGTTTATTTCTTTATGCTCAATTAASCCAATATGTTCAGTACATATCAGTCAGATTGTGAAATATTTGAATAAATTCAGACTAAAATATTCAATTTTTCTTTACTAAATTCTYCGTTTTTTCAACATTTTTTCTCATCTGGTACCATAAACTACTATCTACCCTCTTATATAGGTCAAGTATGCACATAAGTACATACATAATAAGAAAATTGGTCAGTTTGAGCCCGCATTCCAAGTAAAGTGCATATTATAGAAACATAGCAATTGTAAAGTTATTTGCAAACGGGATAAAGAGGAGTAAGTAGAATTCAGAATATGCATGTATAACATACAGACAAGGAAATAAGAAATGTAAGCGTATTTAAATATAGTTCAGTATAAAGCTGGGTTACAAACGATGCTCCAATACTAAAAACATCCGCTTGCAAATATATTTTACTAAGTGAAATGGCACTCATGCGTAGAACCGTGGCAGCTCAACCGAAAGCGGTCAAATGCATACACGAATAACAGCAAAGCATATTTATGGCATATATCATAGATATACATATACACATATATACGATCTGGCATGTTTATAAACAGAAATCCTTTTTTCCGCCTCGTTATTGCATTTGAGAGCTCGCCAATGGAAATGCACACTAAATAGGGACATATGTATGTGTAAAAGGCATAATATTTATTAGCGTGTGTACATTGGTACCCAATAGCCCAAATAAATTTCAAATTGCCTGTAAATCGAAAGCGAGCAGGAGCACGAAAAAAATATATACAAATAAAGAGAAATCCAATACACTGCCAAGCATGGTAGATTTGAGAACTGAAAAAAGTGAAAAAGTTTTCATTGGTTGAGCAAAAAAAAAAAAAAAAATTACAAAAAAAAATATGAAAATTTGCAACGCTTTTTAGTAACGGTAACTAGCAATATGCTGCAAACGACATGCTGGGGCAAAAAGTTCACCAACTTTTGGAAGGTGAATCAATTTGAAAGCAGCGCCATCGAGGTAAGCGTAGGTTGCATAGTGCAAAAACAATACTGACTGATATTGAGAAATAGCAGTAAAAAGATTGAGTAGGGTGAAATTAAGTAAGCAAAAAATTGCTACAATTCGCTACAACTCAAATTGGATTATGCAAAATACAGTGCGAGGGGGGCAGTAGTGCGGGGTTTCCACTAATTAGTTGAGCAACTTTATGAAATTTTGAGCTGCAGGCTACTCAAATTTCACTCTCGGYTAGGGCGCCAAAACTTGCACTGACTGCTACGGTCGGCATTTTTTAAGGTGGCTTTAGCAAAAAAAATAAAAAAAAATTAAAAAAAAAAACAAGATAATAACAGGATATTACTATTAGTTACGATGAATTCACAAGGATAACACGAGTGAGGAGCAATAACCGGTCAGTGTTTAAATTCACTTGTCTATTAAAAGTATATATTTTATATTTACCGATGATAGCAGCAAGGCACAACCTGCGAATGGAGAGTGCGATATATTTCGAAATTCAAACGGACAAATTTTAGGTTAATTTTAATTAAATTGGGACAGACAGTTGGAGACATCGGTAAATAATAAGAAAGACAGGTTTTAAAAGGATACAAGGTAATTAAGGTAGGAGAGAAATTTTCCATATAAATAAGACTCGGCATTTTATATATTTCTATGGAAGCGGCAAGTGCTTGTATTAATAAATAAATTAAAAATATAGTAAGCTAATAGCTCATCAGTTATTTTTGAAGTTCCTAACCTTAAGAGTGGAAGCATATAAGCGAATAAACCATAAATTTATGATTTTATACTGTAATACATTTGCGCTTCTGACAAATAAAGGGTGATCCATTTCGAGGCCATGTACTTTTATAAAGAAACAGCAAAGAAACTTCACAATTAATGGGGTATGTTATTTTTCAAACAAAAGCTATTCAAAAACGTACATCTACTTGGATCACCCGTTTTGTATAGGTCTTAAGAGGGGAGCCTGCTTAAGAAGCATAAGAAAGTCGATTGTTTTTTTGTTTGCTTAAATCTCTTTAAATATTATCTAAGAATATGTCCGCAAAGTTAAAGTGGAAATTCGAAGTGTTGTCGGAGCTAGAAGAGAAATAATGAAAGAACGTCTAGCCGATATATGAGCTCTTGGGCAGAAGGCGGAAACTCTGACGCGGGATTTCTGGGTTTTTTATTTTTACAGTTTTTCTTAATTGGCGGGCAGGACAGAAAAAAACTAAACACCGTATGGAATTGGGGCAAAGTTCATTATCTTTGGCATTAATTTATCTTCTATTTAAACTAAAAAAAAAAGTTTGAAGATATTTTTAAACAACATAAAGTAAAATTTTTTTGGTCAAAAACYAATTCAAAAGCTCTTTGGTTATATGCACTCACACATA